AGTAGTCGACTTTAAATCTATTACCATCCAAACCTTGATAATTCAATCCTCTGTTCATAAAACTTTTTATTTTAATTATAATAATCTTGACATATTACTTCAACACTAAATTAAAAWATATATATTTGTAAATATTGGCTTTTGTTTAAAAAMATATTCCTAACTACGGTCAAATGATAATTGCCAACTGTTTGTAAAGTTTGTACGTTTTTTAAAGTAGTATTGAAACTTGGAAAAAAAACTTCCTTTGTGAATGCTCTGAACATGGCTCCATAATGTATAAACAACTGTTGATTCTCTCTATCTCTATTATGTCTCATCTCTCCCCTTTTTAAACTCTTTTGCAGTGCTTCACCTTCATTCTTTTTTATCTCTTACTACATTTTTTAATTCAAATTTACTATATCTTCTCTTCAATTTTATTGTATATTTTTTACTGTACTTTTCAATACCACATATTTATGTTTCAAAAAGAATATTTTTTCATTTTTACCAAAAAAAAAATCTTATGTTTTTCTCCTTGCAACAACGAAACTAKGTTTTTTTTTTCACAATTCAAACGTACCTACAGTATAAAGTTGAAGTTTTTACTTAAACTTTTAATATGCCAAGGGTATTTTTGTATTTTTAACTTACATAAATTATGATGTAGTAGGTCGATTAGACTAGTAAATGTTGATTTGATACGAGAGAATAGGTCAAATTGTATAAGATAAGAGTTTTTTTTTCTACAAATGTAGAGATCGGAGATTGAACTTTCAAATTTTAATAAATCAACCGTTAAGTTCATATTAGCTATAAGATAAGGATTGAGACGTTAATAGCAACGACTTTCTACTATCGAAATGAAATTCTAAAAATTACAAATTTAATTGAAACTATTTGTTTCAAACGCACCTACCAAATAAACCCAACTACAACTACAAAGTTCTAAATGTGTAATTTATTCTAAAGTAAATTATGCTTTTATAATAAATATACAATTATTTACCTAACAAACTCCTTTTTGGAGCAATTTTATAAATTATATATAAAAAAAACTTTAAAATATGGAAAGAGGTGTCATATTATATTTGTATGATTCATTCAACTAATTAGAGGATCAAAGAAGATAAAGGAGAAATGTGGGAAGATGACAAGTGGACGACACGTGGACAAGTCAGCCCAATCAGCGGAGGATAACGTTATCAAAATTCACTTTACCGCGAGATGCAATGTACCGTCAGCTGTACACGTGGCAAGCAAGCAAGCAGGAAGATCGAGTACTTCTACTAATAGGGTACCGACCCTAGTGGGCCCCACTCTAGTTAAGGGATCGTGAGATGAGAGACCTAAACAAAACATTGTTTTTTGAAAAAAAAAAAAGGAAAAATGAACTAAAACAAAAAAATTTGTGATGGTTATGTTTCATGAAAATGAGGACAAATCTCGGCTAATTTGTCGTCCAAATTAATTAATGGAGCCTTTTCAAAAGTATATAAACAATAAATAAACAATAGGAATTTGCATGTAACTACTTGTGGATTTTATAAAAATAGCAAAATTTGGAGTTTTGACTCCAGCATAAACAAAAGTCTAATATGTCTTTAATGGACATGGAGTGCAAACAATATTATGTACCCTACGATGTATAATTCACATACTTAAAAAATTGAAATAGTAAAATCGGAATAACTAGATTGGTAATAAGATTTCAAATATTTTGTCATATTTGCAAAACACAAAAATCAAAAATCCGTTACAAATTCCATAAATTAAATAGTCAATATAGTTTTGGTTTGATTTCAATTTGGTTATTGTGATTTAAACATTTTTAATTTAGTACTTATGATTTGAGTTTAACTTTCATTTAATTCAATAAATTTTGAAAGTTGAAATTTGGTTCTTACCGAACCTCATAAATTGTCACAGTCTTTGTCATATTGAAGATGTGACATATTTTATACGTAAGTGGTACTCAGAGTGTGTTTTCTATTTGTTCAACCACGTGGGTTATCAAGTTTTATGTATTTCTTTTCATTTGATTTGTATAGTTTAAAAGTTTTCAATTTTCATTTGATTTTTATAGTTTTAAAAATTTTCAATTTTCATTTTTAATCTCACAAACTCTTAATTATACGTGCCACGTTCCCTATTAGAATGTCAACTAATTGTACTAGATTTTAAGAGAGTAAAAACACTTTTTTTAGGGGGTAAAAATGGTCTTAGGAAAAATTTGTGAGTTTGATCAAATCACTAGGACCACTATTAATTTTGAAAATTTATAAGGACTATGTTAAATTCAAACTACACCCAAACGACARAGAAAAACACTCCAAGATTTGATAAAAATAAAATACGTCTTATCAACTCAACTATGCTGATCATATTGATGATCTTAGGAAAAGTGTATAAACAAATAAATAGTAGGATAAGTGACTCATTGGATCTTATGTTAAATTCAAACTACACCCAGCCTTGTTAATATGGGTCGAATTTTTATTGCAAGGACAATATTAGAAGGCAATCAAATCATTCAAAAATAGATATAGAAAAACATTAAAGAGTAAAAGTATTTCAAATATGAGCATAGCTTAGTTGATAAGATGTATATTATTTTTCTAAGTGGAAGATTTTTATCTCTCACCCCGAATTTGTTGAACTAAGAAAAGGAAAAAAAATCAGCATAAAAATAATCAATTATTCAAATATTTATTGTTCCTATCGAAAAAAATATTGATAGTCGCAATAAATCTTCGAAATCACTCCAAGATTGGAAAACCTGGAAAAATGAATAAGCACTTTGACGATCCTATTAGTCTTTGTGCTAAGTGATAAAAAATAAGTAAACAGTTAGCAAGTTTTCGCATACCAGCCACCTTAGTTCAATTTGGTATTTATAGTGGATGGGAAAGTAACCGTTGGAGAGGAGAGAGGGAGACTCCCGTTTGAATTAGACGGTTCATTTTGCGTGAAAATAGGAAATCACGAACTTAGTGGAGGAAACGGTGGTACACCTTGAAATGAGCTCTGCTAGACAGACGCACAGTTCGGTCTTGGACGAACCGGCTTCATCTTATGTTTGTCCACGTGTCCTTTCCTTTTAATTGTATTGAACGACAACGTGTTCGCAGAATCAAAGACTAAACATTTATAAACTTTTTTTTGTTTAGAATATTACGTTACAAATATGGAGGGAAAATTTGAGTAGATATTTGATTACAACCAAATTTACTATTAAGCATATGTACATGTTTTTTTTATAATATTACATCATAAATACATATGAAGGTGGATAAAAGAGATATAAATAGATATGCATCGGTTATTAAAATATCTAAACAAATATCGAAGCATGGACTCTCATACTTACATGAAGAAAGTTATTAATATTTTCCTCCTGGTGGGTGTTTACTTACGTAACACACTCTCTTTAGCCTAATTATCATAAAATTCCCCAAGTATCCAAATTTGTGATAAACTTAAATGAAAAGAAATGACAATGATCCATTGGAGGATAGAAAAATAACTGATAAATTGGTTGGATCACCCAATCAAATCGGGAGAAAGGAGAGTTTAATGATTTAACTCTATACTATACTAATGTGGTACCTTTTCTTATATCAATTTAGCAATTAATGACCTAAGAGATATATATCTATTTTTGAGAGAGTAGATATAAAAAAAATGAAAGGACTAAAGTTTGTTAGAGAAAGATCCCATCACAAATATTACTTCAAATAAAATAAGTCATTTGAAATACATGACACGACTATCTTTTCGTTACTTTTTTACGATGTTCACTAGGTTTAATTTGTTCGCGGTCGTTGTCGCTATCAATCTGATTATTTACAACCATAACAATTTTTATATTTATCTTTATGCTTCAACTTTACATTTTTGTTGTTATAATATATACACAGTTTACAAGTTTCTAATACTGAGTAGTTGTAATTTTTTCTTTTTTTCTTAATAGAACAAATCTATAGATAAGAGATTGAACTTCTAACCTTTAAAAATTATCTAAATGTCTTAATTGTTTTAGGTTCATATTCTCTATATTCTCTGTAATTATTTGTAACTGATTAAAGTAAACCAAAGGAAGCAAACATTCTTCACATGTTTTTGGTTATTTACAAAGAGAAAAGCAGTATCCAAACTATTAAATATAAAAATAATTAAATAAAAAAACCTTAAAAAGCTGAAAATCAAATGTGCAGAAAGAAAATGACCTTTCTTTTAAAGAGAGAAGGAATAAGGAAAAGAAATCGAGTTATTTTGACGTCCAAAACGGGAGAAGTTGGAGAAAATTTATCTACCATACAGATAGTCCGCATTATTTAATAATTGTATAAAAGTCAGTCGAACAACATTAAAAAAAGTATTTATGATACCTTACGGTTGGTGCACTGATAAGAGGTTTAGGTGTCAACACCGATCAGCCATCCAGTATCTAGAAGTAAAAAAAAAGTAATTTATGAGACCAATATGAATTTAACTCAACGTTGTTGATTGATATATTATATCTGATCATGAGTTTGAATTCCAAAACAACGCCAATTARTTACATTCTAAATTTTATATTGAACAAATACTGTAAGACTATATAAATTTTTAGGACACGTGCATATATAGCAAAACAATGAATAATCGAAAATGAAAATTTCATAAATTTTTATAAAGATAAAAGTATAAAAGAAAAATATTTGGGACTTGACGAGGAATACACCGTTAGAAACTTGACAACTCAAAGAGAGAAAATGAATTTATGAATTACAGAAACATGGAGATAGATCATCACCAATTAGGACGACGGAAAATGAACACGGAAGTTGGTGGGACCATTGGCGGTGCAGAAAGGAAAGTAAAGGAAAAGCGAGTGGGGAAGAAGAGGCCAAAGCCATGACCAATACAAAAGCAGAGACCGAAACGAAACAGCGTCCCCTCCACCACCAGAGCTAGAGGGTCACCCGTTTGACACGTTTCCTTTCCTTTTTTTTTTCCTTTAATTTTATTTAATTGACTAATCCCAACTAAATTTGTCATTTAGCGGATGTGATACTAGTTGTCGAATTCCGTTACGTCCAATATTCAATCTCCACTTCCATACCTAATTTATATTATATGAAAATAATTTTACAATTTTGTGACTGTAATAATTGATCCAGTTGATTTGTGGAGTGATTCCGATCTTAATCTAAGCTTATGCCCCTCATATTTGAACTGGAAAAAAGAAAAAAGATATTAATTTTGTTCTTTTGCTTATTGCACCATGCAAGCACGTGTTTATGGATGGAAGGAGATTCAAGTTGGGGCTCCATTTCGCCTCCGAATAAGCCATAAAAAAATTCGGTTGAGACTATCAACGAGTATCATGTTTGTTGGAGATATATGTTAATTGCCACTAAGTGAGATACTTTTGTCTTAATGTGTTTGTTTTTCAATATTTACTTGAAATACCTTTATTTGTAATTACACAAATAAATTATGATCATAAAGGTTCATTTCACTCTTATTATTTTCGTAGTGTTTTTTAGTTTCTCTTTATTTCTTTCCTTTCTAAAATTACCTTTTTAACAAAATAACATTATTTTAATAAATATAGTTGTATTTTTCAACTATACAAATCCAAACTAGTGATTCATGAGAATTTCAGCTTAATTTAGATTTTTTTTTAATTTTTCTAAAAATCTCATCTTTGAAATTGGAAAATTTTGATAATAATTAGGGGCGGATACAGGGCACGGTCATGTGGCCTCTAAAATTAGATATATTAAATATAATATAATTAACTTGGTAAAAAATAAGTTTTTATTACGACAAAGATTTTCATATTTTCATTTGGTGGGCATGATGAGACAAATGATTAAAAAAAATTAAGGTAATTTTCCTTAACTTTTACCATGACTATAAGACCACAACAATAAAATTAAAGTTGGATTTTGAAAAATGCTCATAAAAATTTAAAATTGATTGCATCCSATATTTATTTGATAGGTTAAATAATAACATTATCATGGATGGACTCATTGGAGGACAATTGCAATGCTATTAAATTTGTTCAATATTTATGAAGTTAATATTTTGAAAAGTTCTTATCGTACAATATTTRTATGTATATTGTGCCATTGAATCAAATTCTGAGACGATCAAGTAGAGGCGTACTCGTTGGTTGGGTCAATTTCCTTTATATCAGCAAATTGAATAGCATACATACACACACACAYATATATATATTCACTTTAAACAACCAATAGTTTGGGAAAATCACATATYGACTATCGACTGATCTGTCGTTAAAATCGACCAACTAATGTCAGTTCGATACATTTCAATAGGTCGGATCGATTTTCCGACCTCCTATCCCCCATAGCGATGACGATTTAGAAAATGGCCTGATTAAAGGCTTTTTTTTAAGCCATTTATTTATTTAAGATATATTGCAAGCAAGAGATGGATCTCTGCCTGAGATTAAAACACAAAATAAATAAAGAGAATAGAAAAAAAATAATGCTCTAATAAAACAATAAAAAAAACAACATAACTGAAGCAAATATCATATGAAACGTATCMTACAACAAAAACAATAAAAATAATAGTAACAACTCAATTATAAAAATAAATCTCAGGTATAACTTATCAATGAACGAGATCCATAAGCAAATTGAATAAATCTCAACTCGTTGGCAATTTGAATGTTCAAATTATTAGAAGATTAAGTTTAATTCTAAAAAAATAATTGTTGGATTTTTTTTTTAATATTACTCTCATGTAAAGAGTGCAAATAACTGAATTAAGTTCTAATATATGAAAAAATACAAATTAAAGATAGGTTTGGTTGATGGTTTGAAAACAAAAAATTGATTCAATAGAAAACAAAGTGGTATTCCATGTTTGCACTGTATTCGTTCATGTGTTTGATAATAAATTGAAAGTTTAATCTCAATTTTAAAAAAATTGTTTGTTCGGTTATATATTTGTAAACTATTGGTAAACTAGTAGTAAGTAGTAACTATCTAATATTTAGTTCAATCTAAAATATTATTATGTTATAAATTTTGTAAAATTATTATTTTAAAATATTATATAGTTTATGATATGTAAAAATTTACCTATTCTAATTTTAGTAAAAAATGAAATGAATTTATAACATTATTGCATTTTAAAGTTTCAAATTCAAAATATGAAACATTGAAAACATATAAAAGTATTGTTTTCAAAATTTTCATTAGATATCAAAATCCAAATACAATTTTTAAAAATAAATATACATGTGTACCGAATCTAAAAACAATAAACAGAATTTAGATGGCATATCAACGAGCCCTAAAAGATATTTTTATCTATTCAATTTTGATGTTGGAACCCTTCTAGATYAAGTAATTAACCAAACCACTGTCTATTACAGGTGTGTTATTTATCCATCTTTTTCTTAAGGGCTATTTATCTATCTATACTAATACTTGTCGCTATAATTAATTTTAGTATTTTTGACTTCTAAAATATTGAATGCTATTAATTCTTCTGAATTATAGTGAATTTAATGTATTGTTAATCCTTTTATTTATTTTTTAATTGGACTAGACTGTGAGATAGAGATAGAACGATACTTCTATGACGTTGTTATATCCATCTAATAAAAAGAGAATGCTTGTCAATGAACTATACTCGAATGAGTAATTGAAAACGATTCGTACCTACCATGTAGTGAGAGAGATTATATATCATCCCAAAAAAGTTTCCAGAGTACGCTTAACTCCAAATTTTAAATAACTACTTATATTTTATATATATATATATATATATATATATATATATATATATTGTTTTTTCTTAATATTTGTGAGTGTCGTTTAGAGAATTTGTATATTTGAAAGCATATTTTTTTGTGAATACGTCTTGAGAACATCCACAACTTCTACTRCATAATCTTTCTAGAATGTTACATCAGAAATGTAGGGTGAAACTTCACTCCTACAATTTTTTAGAAAGTAGAGATATATTTAACCACTGATGTCAAGTTGRCAGTATATTTCACAATTTATATAATTCATTGAAACAACATCTCCTAGTCGGAAAATAGCAGGGTGAATAAGATGCATGTTATATTCTTTGAGGCCGGAGATTAAATTCCTACCCACATTTGTTGTGCACCAGTAAAAAAAGATTCAATAACAATAAAAAATAACCATAGTAATTGAAACTTCTAAAATATAATTATCAATCTTAATAATTAATGTATATTTGCCTTCAACTTTGCTAGGTAACTAAATTGGATAACATCTTTTATTTATTTATTTTCATAATCTCACTAATGTCAAATCCAAAGTTATACTTAACTAAAGTAGGAGAGARGYAAGACCAACTTAACTTGAAAAGATAAAAGACTACCAAATTTTTGAAGGAAATAGCTTGATAGTTTCAACTGATTAACCGTTGTAAATTCAAATTCATATACTACATTGTTGAATTAAAAAAAACAATAATAATAAAAATATCCCTACATGAAAAATTAGAAAAAATAAATTTGATCACAAAAATATCACAGCTCATGAGATGCTCACATGGACAAAGAAACGATGTTAAAAGATTAGTATTTTTTCTTTTTCTTTTTTTTTTAAATACAACAYGTGGGGTGGATTGGTTGGATTGRTATTTSTTCTTTATACTTTAATTAAAGTAAAGATTTAGTCCATATAAGTTAGTATGTAACAATTTGTCATTATAATTTAAATTTTGTATCGATTTAGTCCACTATTGGTAATACCTAACAATTTAGTTTCTATACTTTTAAAWTTSTATTGATTCAGGCTCTACAAGAAAGAATATTATTAAACTGAAGTATCAATTTTTATTCCTTTTGTTTAAGAACACATATAATCTCGAGTGATTTATTGATCTATTTGTGCAAAAGAACATCGTTAAGTAAAATCTAAATTGTTACAAAATTTAAATCACAATAATTAAATAATTACGTACTCAAATTTAAGGTTGTTATTATGAGAAACAAAAACCACAAAAATAAAGATAAAAAGGTAAAACTCAGAGCTTGTGTAGGAAATAACACAACAATTAAARAGAAATGAAGAAATACCAAAGCGAGTTTAGCTAGTTCAGCGGTAATTGACTTGTACGAYAACAAATGCCTTATCTATTTACCTATCTCATAGACACTGAACTTGTTATTATCAAATTTAATCAGCAACTATCGAATTTTTTAAGAATATTATATTTGTTTGTAATTACATTTAATGAAAATACATATTTACTCAAATATCCCTTGCACAATTCACAGCTGCTACATAATTGGGCCTAGGCCTGGGCCTGGGAGTTGGGTCCTTGTTACAGTTCCGAGCCCGGCCCACGTATTTCTACCAGTACGAGAAACGACAATTTTATAATTTTTCTTGTATTGACTCAGGAGGGAGTAGTGAAAGCTGGAAACTTTATTGAGACAATGCTTTCGGGGCTTTAACGGATTCCTGGGGCTGGCAGACGAAGAAACCCTAAAAGGGAACGGGAGGAAGAAGAAGAAGAAGAAGAAGAAGAAGAAGAAGAAGAAGAAGAAGAAGAAGAAGGAGAAGGAGGAGGAGAAGATAAGCTTCAATTTATTGGATCGGATCGAAATCAATCAACCAGTACCATTGTATGTACGTCTAATTTTCTCCATCTTTGCCATTTTTCGTTGTTGTTAGAGACTCTGCATGTTTTATCTGTCCTTGTAAGTTCTTTCCATTACTGCGTCGTTACGTGTCGCTCCTTCGATTTTCATGGAAATAACTTCACGTAGTAATTTCTTCGATGTTTGATGCTTGAAAATCTTTTTTCTGTCAATCTCTTCCTTTTCTGCTTTGTCCCTTGGAACCCCATGTCCGATGGGTTAATATATGTGAGATTGAGTTTGGCAACTGAGTTATATTGTTGCTTCGTGAATTGTGGTTTTCTGATGTCAAGGTCCACTTTTTTGTTAAGGGAATCGGAAGATTGATGTTTCTGAATTCTGGGGAAGGATTATATTTATGAGGATTCCAATTTAGATACGAGGCCAAGGTCTATGGGACTTGTTAAGTGTTGGTTCGTCATGGCATAACTATGTCTGTTTGGTGCGTATATTACAGGAAAGGTTTTCAAACATTGTGCTCCTGAATCTTTTGATCGAACATCCAGAGCTTTGCAGGGTGTCTTCGTGACTCATTTTCCTGCGATAATGGATCCTGGGCGCTATGGTCTTCAACAAGGATGGGATAATAACAGCGTAATTGTGGTTTCCTCCTTAATAATCACCTCTATGGATGATAATACCAGAAATTATTAGGGCTATGTGAATGTCCATTTCTTTTCCGGCATCTCATCTTGAAAGAAAAAAATGAGATAGAGACATGGGGCATTGAAGATGTGGACTGGATTTGCCTAACCACGTAAGATCATTGACTATTTGTTGCTGACATAGCTTATTCTCTTGAATCCACAGGCTTTGGAGGGTCATGGTAATGTTCACGAGCCAAACTTCCGGTGAGTAATAACTCTTGACCATCATTGCCAAGAATATTATAGCAAGTTGGGGAAATGTTGTACATTAAAATATCTTTTGAACTCAAGGACACAGATGTACAAATCCTGGTTGAGTAAGGTCGCTTTACATTAAAATATCTTAATTGCATTATCTATGTCAAATGCATTGTTAAGTGACAAGATTTTTTTGTACTCCAACTCATAGAATCCTTTAGCTATCATGTCATGTTGTGTCAAAGTTTAGTTTGTATCTTGTATAATTTTTGCAGGGTTGGCGGAGCATATGATGAGCGAAGGTTTTTAGATGAACGATACGCGAGAGATAACACTTACCCAAGAGATGCCTTTCACCATGATATTGCCAATAGGGAAGACTATCCACCACCGCTACCTTCAGCCTCTGGCATTTGGGCTCCATCAAGGAGGAGAAGTTATGAAGATGAATACCCTATTGATAGGGGTTCTAGACGACATGAAAAACCATATAATGAGTCATACCGTGACTTGGATGCTTTTAACGATCATGAAATTGATACATATCAGGATTTTGATAGGTTTCGTGATGGCTATCGCAGTCTCAGTAATCTTCGTGATCAGGGAATTGACAGGCTAGATCGATTTGGAAGTCGTGAGCGTGATGATTATGCTTATGATGATTATGACTACAAGTCTGATGTGTCCCATCCAAAGAGAGATGATAGTTATGAGAGGGATTATGACTATGGGCGATATCGCTATGATTCAGATTATGATAGAGGTAGTAGAAGAGAGGGTAATTGGAGAAGGCGTGAATCACGTGATCGTGAACGCGACAAGAGATGTTCAAGTTGGGATAGGGATCAAAGTCCTCATAGAAGGCATGATAGGTCTAAGTCTCGTGGGCGTGATGATCGTTCTAGATCAAGATCTCCTCGAGGTCGTAGCCATGGAAGAAATTATCGAGAGGATAGTTATGATGACAATAGACATGATAGGTCTGAGAGGCGAAGGGATCGAGAAGAGAAACGGGAGCGCGAGAATTATTCAGTGGTATTCTTCCTTGGTCTTAGTTTATTCTTTTACTTATTATTTATGAGAGAACAAGACTGAGTGATTTCTAACGTATTCATGTAGGCTCCATCCGCCACTGTAGTTGTGAAGGGTCTTTCTCAAAAGACGACCGAAGAAGACCTCTACCAAATCCTTGTAATATTTAGCTTGATATTTTATTTGAAGTGCTTGTGCCTTTCGTTGTAGATACAAATTTTATTAGATTTTTATAATGTGCTTCATCATAGGCTGAATGGGGACCCCTCCGTCATGTCCGTGTGATCAAAGAGCGTAATTCTGGCATTTCACGTGGTTTTGCATTTATTGATTTTCCTTCAGTGGTAACTGTAAAATTTGAATCTTTGTGTTGCTTAATTATATTATATTTTATTTTCTTCATGGATATGTATAATTGCTCGTATTGATGATATAGGGAGCAGCACAAACAATGATGGACAAGATTGGGGAGGATGGACTAGTTGTTGATGGCAGGAAGCTTTTCTTTGAGTACAGGTTTCTTCATTTTATCCCCATAATAAAGGCATCACTCAATTTGATAAGACTAGTATTTGTGTAATCATATGGGTTTTCTTATGTTATTTATTTTTTACCTCCCTGGAGTTCAGAAAGTTGAATCATGAGAATTAGTCATTCCTGTTTTTTTGTCCGGTTCTTTATATCATCTTTGTGGAATGAAAACTTCCGCAAGTTCAYGATTTATTTTCTTGTCCAAGCATGTTTTGCATTTTCATCTGTTATGTATTGCAGTAGTAAGCCGACYGGGGGTGCAGGAGGATCTTTTGCTGCAGAAAATACTACAAGATCAGGTCATTTTAACAAGAACATGGCAATGCCATCTGATTGGATGTGCACCATCTGTGGCTGTGTAAATTTTGCACGACGAACTTCTTGTTTTCAGGTTGTTGCCAACATTTTCTTGTATGTTGTTCTAGTTGTGATAATTTCAGTTGTAGGTGCAGAAATGTCAATGTTTCCTGTACATGGGCTGTGTTATGCCTGTGTTACTTTGTGGTTTCTTTGATAAAAAACAATAATGTATGAATTTCTGAAGTTTCTATAATGCTTAAATGGAAGATGTGGTACMTAGTTTAAAGATATTTGGAATATATTGGTATTGCAAGTTGCAACCAGTTATGATGAGTTGTGATGTTTCAAGTTGGGCATCTAAATGTATGTATGTATGTATGTGTGGAACAAGAAACTCATTTCATTAGGTAATGAAACATTCTAATCTAAACCATAAATTATTATATTCTATTATATACAAACTCCCCAGTTGGAACAAAAAAATTTCAGAACTATAATTAGAAAATAAATGGATGAAACAGTCAAAGATAATGCATAATGCTTCATTATTTCAATTCTTTCCATTTCAATAATTGTTTTTGCTTAAGAACTTTTGGTCTCTTGAACTTGTAGCGATATTCAAAGCCTTGACTGTGTTGATCTGGAGTATTTTGACTTTGTTTTGGACCATAGCTTTGTTTAATGGTAGTTGTAGGATATAAATTGGCTGCAATGTTCATTGTGTATTATTAGACTCTATAAATTACATATGCGAAGTGGATGTTGATCTTTTCCGGAAGTAGATGTTAATGGTTCTTGTTGGAAAAATAGAGTTAGATGACATTAAATAAGTTCTTGGTGATTCATACGTTGTATATGTTTGTTGGTTTTTTCCGTTATTGTTTCTGAAGCAGTTTAATCTGTCCTTGTAATTGCCTAATAAGAATAACAATCTTTTTCTCATGTAAGTGAAAGGTTTTCTATATAGGGCAGTCATGAGGTAGATTTTTGTACATGTGAACTGTTCGTCTATAATTAGAAGCTTAAATCTCTAATTTATGGGCAATTGGGCATCTTATTGATTAGTGGAAATGGTTAATATTGAAAATAATCTTCTTCTTTGTCTTATATAGTGTAATGAACCTCGGACTGATGATGCACCGCCGGCAGATRTTAATATGTCTAATCAATCCTCTTTAGGAAAGAGAGGACAAGAGGCAGGTTAGTGTATGTTATGGCTTACTTAAAGTAGTCTCTTTTAATCCCACGTGATGAAGTTAGCTGAAGTTTATTTTATGTAGGTCCTACTCATGTTTTGGTTGTTCGTGGATTGGATGAAAATGCGGATGAGGAAATGCTTCGCTATGAATTCTCTAAACATGCTCCAATTAAGGTACATGAACTTCAATTGTTGGAATTTCAATTTTTATTTTTTATGTATATGATAATCACCTAAGTGGGATTGGAAATTTTTTTAACTCACAGTTGATTTGGGTGTGGTCTCCTAATCTAATCCAATTTATGGACATACTTAACTTTGCTGAGAGGAAGTATTTATGAACTGTAATATTGCAATAATAACTGAATGAAAACCTTGGAAAATGACCTTTCATTGTCTGTCGAGCTTTCTATCTTTCAGTTTCATCACACTAAACTGTTGTATAATTATTTTTTACTTTTTATTACTTCAACTTGAGGCTCTTTCTTGTAATTTGATTTTGTGCCCCTGTTTTTGTTTGGCTCTTTTTGTGCAAGCTGCTTATTGCAATTCCATTTGTCTTAATGTAGATTTCGTTTTCATAATTAAAAAAGTATTAATTTGATACAGGATCCTAGTACTAGTGCTTTCAAGGACAGATCCTTGCGTGGGGAGAAAATGTAGAACTTTTCACCATAATACTTCTCTTTGAATGTCCACATGTTCTGTTATAGATGTACTTCCATTCTTGTTTGTGGACGAATGATGATTGGGGGTTATTAGTAATTTTTGTTGGGAGGGAATAGTGGGGCTTTGTGCTTTTGCATTATATAGGTTTTTTACTTGGCCTTTTCTCTTGTGGCGGCCTTTCTGTTGTCCCTTTCCCTTTTCCTTTGTAATGTTTGAAACTTTTATGAGGACATGGCAAAGTAAATACTTCTCATTCTAATCATTTTTTTAATTAAAAAATATTTGCAGGATCTTCGCTTGGTTAGAGACAAATTCACTCATGTTTCTAGAGGATTCGCATTTGTACATTTCCATTCGGTGAGCTTGCTTTTTTCATTGGATATGTGGGGTAAAATTTTATTTTTTCTAAGAAATGGTATGATTATGATAATGCATCTTCTTTTGTATGCTTTGTGACAATCATGTGTCATGATGGTCTAAGTAATTTGTGCAGTTTCATCCTTTTTTTTTTAAATAAAAAACTGAGCTTTTATTCAGAAAAGTTATAGAATACAAAGTGGCTGCCCAGAAAAAATGGGCCAAATCAAAACTAGAACTAACTATACAAAATAAAGGATAATTACAAAACTCTTTAGAAGTTGACACCCGAAGAGAGGCTATGTGCAGTTACATGAAAACATTTTGACACTGTAATTTGGAGTATATTTTAATGTGTTCTAGAGATTGATTCATTTTTTCAAATGGGGATTTTGCAGTCGACTATACTTGAAAACAACGGAGTATTTTTTAAGTACAGAATTCTTGAAGCCATCCTTATAGTTAACAAAGTAGTGCTTGATTATTGTCTGTTCTTATTGCATGTTTTCTTTATAGCCATTGAGATAGCTGGAGTGGACCTCTGTTATATGCTTGTTTTTTATTAAACGTTATTTGTTAGAAAAAAGGTTTTAGCATAACAYAGAAAGAGGATATTATATTTTAATATGGGATTTGTATTTCTTCTAGGTGGAGGATGCTACCAAAGCTCTTGATGCCACAAATGGCACAACCCTGGAGAAGAATGGGCAAATTTTACGAGTAGCATATGCCAAGAGCATTCTTGGTCCAGGATCAGGATTGTCTGGATCTTCACAGTCAAGCAGCCTTGCAGCTGCTGCAATTGAGGCTGCAACATTTGCTCAGCAGGTATTTAGGCTAATTTACTTTTCCCTGTTAAATTCATCTGCAGGAAAAATTTACTATAATTTCCTATTTTTGCTTTCCGGCCTTGCTTTTAAGGTTTAACTTATGTTGCAGTGAACCTTATTTATCTTTTTTTTTTTTAATTTTGAAAACCAGGGATTATGAGTTGACACATGTATTTGAGTAGGTATATGCATTCAGATATACATAATAAGCTAATATTGTCTTGTGACTTGTCGAGTGAATTGCATAAATTTGCTAGTGCTCATTGCACCTGCATTATTGATCTTTTGAGAAGTATTTGTGGAGAGAACTTTAYTGTACCTTTTATAGTCGAGTGTGAGGRGCTGACAAATCTTTCAACAACTTGGGCTGCTTTATAAATTTATTTACATTGAAAGAAGGGGGTACCACATTAATGTTTATGGATGAGAATCAGGGACAGATAAATATACAATAATCTATTAGGGGTTTGTATAGAAAGTATCCTGCTCTATTTACCCTACCCCTCTTGTTCCTAAAGAGGAACCCTTAGGAAGGCTTGATTTTACCACCCTATGTATTTCTTTCGAACTTGATCTATTTTTGAATTCTATGCTTGAAGCATGTTTTATAAGCTATCACTAAGGTGGATTTTTCTGAGATGTTGATGAGGAATTCCTGCTAGTCTTGGACTCTTGGGTTTTATGATTTACCATTTAGACACCCTCAACATGAATGGCAAATGTAAGTCTCCAGATGTGAAATATGTAAAACAATTTGAGCAGCTGAAATTGGTAATATCATCTGTGAATTTGTTCAGCAATATAGCTTGTACTTCATGTAGGCATCACATTGCTCGTATTGTTTTTGTAGTCTGATGTTACCACTCGTGAACTAGTAGCATTTGAGGAGGGTACTACAGGCGTTGCTCTGAACTAGAATTTAATATTGTTCTATGTTTTATTAGTGAGTGATGGGTTGGTAAAARGTTTTTATGTCTGAAATCTTTATTTCTTATAAATTTATTCTGTAAGCACCCTATTTACATCCCACAAATATTAGGTAGATATGTGATCCGTAAGTCTTGGTATCATGGGATCCAAATTTGTTCTGGGGTACTTTGTGCGTGATTATTCTTGTGTTTTTTAGTATGATGCTGTTGGATGGGCACCAAAGGAATACAACCCGGACGACAAACAATCCAATGGTGGCCAGGGTCAAGGAGGCAAGGAGGTGGCAATTCAAACTCACAATTCTGCTCCCCAATCTGGCTTTGTGTGGGATGAAGCATCTGGTTACTATTATGATGCTGCTTCTGGGTTCTACTATGATGGAAATACAGGTACATCTCTTRGTTAATCTTTGCCCATATCCCATTGGATTCAATTGGAGTCTTCTGTTCATCTGTTGGATGATTTTTGCAATAATTTGTTTGCTTACTACTTTCTGTTTCAATTCTCCTTGGCATTTGGGTGGAAATCTTAACATCCCTCTTTCTGTACCTACTTTTTTTGTTTTCTTTTTGACAAGAAACAAAAACTTTTCATTGATATTATTTTTTATTCTTAATGATCTATATTTTATTATTTATTCGTAAGTTTCAAGACTTAGTTTTCACATGTATTACACAGGTTTGTACTATGACGGTAATAGGGGAATTTGGTACACATATGACCATCAGAAGCAGGAATATGTCCCGTGCACTGATCAGAGGGAGAGCTCTTCTGGAAAAGATAGTGAGTTCCCCAAGACATCAGAAGCATCAAGTAATAAAAAAGTAGTGATTTCTGCGCCAGCAGCTACCATTACATCAGTTGAGAAGGCCGCCTCATTGCCAGATGCCGTCCAGGCTGCAGCAACAGCAGCAATAGCTGCAGAAAAGAGGGAGAAAGAAAAGGCTAAAGAGATAAAGCTTGCTTCAAAAAGTAGTATACTAGCTAACAAAAAGAAGATGAATAATGTTTTGACAATGTGGAAGCAAAGAAGTCATGAAGGACAGGCAACACGCGTGGCACTTGATGACAATCAATTATTAGCATCAACTGAAGATAAGTCTTACCCTGTTGGACAATCCATGAAGAGTAAGCCTAAAGCTGATGTTCAAACCTCAAGGGAGAGCACTTCATTCAACTCGGGAGCTGCTTCAACTGGTGCTCCCGAGTCTCAGGTTAAGCCAAGACCCGTTAGTAACAGCTCAGGGGGGACTCTGATGGGTGTTATCAGAGGTTCCGGGAGGGGTATCATAAAATCAGATAGTTTGTATTCAACATCCTCCAATGTGGTCTCTACTTCAACTGTATTAGATGGTGCTGCTAATCCAACTCTCTCAATGACTGTTGATACTCCCTCAATTGTAAGTTCCTTCAGAACAGATGCTTCTGCCTTGGGTTCTTACACACCTCCTGCTAGTTCTGCAAGTGGAAAGAGAAGGTTTTCTGAAATGCCACAAGGCCCACAACCTTCTGCTTCTGYGAATAGGGAACAACCACAGACTGCCTACAGAGATCGTGCAGCTGAAAGGAGGAGTTTATATGGCTCGTCAACATTCGTTGGGGATGATCGGTCCAACCTTGAGTTTGGGGATTTGAGTAAGTCCTGTTTGATTTATACTTTTCACGGATGCCATTTTATCATTTTAGCTCCTTTATTTAGTGTAGACATTCATCTTATAATTAAATATTACATAATGTTTCCTCGAAACCAAATTATATTTGGAATCATTACACTTGATACTTTCAGATTCATTTTCTTCATGATTAGCGCTGGGATCTGTCAGATTGTTGTTTGATGACTGAGTTTGTTATCTGGGTTGATGAGCCGATGCTTTATTCAGAATAATTCATATTGACATGTGAGATCTCCTCTTTGTTTACCATATGTGATCTTTCAAGATCGAGATATTTCAGTCAAAAAGGGTTCTCTGGATGCAATGCCTTTTCCTCCTGGCGTTGGTGGAGGACGTGTAAGTGGGGATGCAAATCTCAACACTTTTGAAGTGATTACAGCGGATAAAGCAATTGATGAGAATAACGTGGGCAATAGGATGCTCCGTAACATGGGCTGGCAAGAAGGCTTGGTAATCTTTTCCCCTGTTCTTAACTCTTATTTGTCATGTCTCCAAGAGGTGATTGATAGGCCTTATCATTTTTAGTTCGATACATTTGTTAATCWTTTTTTAGATAAGACAATACATTGGTTAATCATTACACAACAATAATCTTTCAGAGGTTTTTAACCTCTCACCCTTTTGCTGACTGAGATTTAAGCAACGGCTACCCTTCCCTCGTAACTCGTTGACAATATTGTATCTTGGCTTTATGTAGCGCTAGATAAATGCTGGCAGTTCAATGTTTTTGGTAGTTAACCAGTAACCATCACCATTCTGATGTTGGGATTGTTTTTTTTGTGCATCCAGGGTCTAGGTAAGGATGGAAGTGGAATGACGGAGCCGGTCCAGGCTCAAGCCATGGATAGCAGGGCGGGACTTGGGAGTCAGCAGAAGAAGTTGGATCCAAGACTTGAGATTCAGGCGGGCGATAGCTACAAAACTCTCATTCACAAGAAAGCACTTGCTAGGTTCAGGGAGATGTCTTAAAATGATGGTATGTAAGTCAGTTAATTGTCAGGAAACTCAAACAAATCAAATGTACAAAACTTTTGGAAAATTGAAGTTATCTCCACTCAATGTTATTAGGGTATGGAATCAAGTTTTGTTTCTTCTGTTCTGATTATTGGATCATTTAGTTCAGAATTAGCTCTCCTCTCCTGCAACTACTTTTACTTCAATCTCTTGTCTCACTTGAGAATGCTCTTCACAATGAGTTCTGCAAAGTTACTTTCCAGAAGAAGAGCAACTTCATGGTCAAATTATTTCTTCGAAGAAAATGGGTCAACAAGGATCTTTAACTTCTAGAGGTATGCCCCTCTGTCTGTAACTTATAATATAACCAGATTGTTTCAATTTGAAGAACAATGCCTTAATACTTTTCGGGCTTGACCGAATGATTAGCTAACCTTCGATGGTCTGTGAAGTCTTTCGTTTCCCCGAGTGTGTGAACTCTCAATGCTCTAATGGCTGCCATGTGGTCCATCTTCTAGTGAGTGATCAACATCTGTTATGGTTGGTTGGTCAGTGGTTGAAATTCAATATAAATAGTAGTATATTGAATATATTAATAGAATTTGACATTTGACTAAATGCTTGTTCATACACATTATTTTTATTGTTTACAAGTCTATTACTGAAATAATCTCAATAAAATCCAATTTCTGAATCTGCCATTAAACACCTTAAAAAATAATAGAAACATGAAATGTAACACTTTTTTAATTAAATTCTCTGTTTTCCGTTGACATTAATCAAAGCCAAAAATGTTTATCTATGAGCCTTAGCCATAGTCCAAAAATGATTATCAAATGGTTGGACGCTTTTTTTTTGATAAAGATGATGGGACGTTTGATGTGCTCACTAGTTCATTTTTACTAGTGATTGACATTAATTGGTATTTGATATGGTAATTTACATTTGATATAGTTAATTAGTTATTAATATAAATATATATATATATATATATATATATATATTTGAATAATAATTGGTGATTCACATCTGAATATCAGATCAACTAAAATTATGATTGAGATATTTGACATATGAACTCAATAATGGCCAATTTTATGTGGCTTTGCAGTTAAATTGCAAAAGCACAATTGCGATATTATTGACTCAATGGGCTCCATATGTGTACGCCTTTATGCACATCACATCACTGCACTGCAAATCCTTTTTTCATTTTGTTTTTTCTTCTTCTTTTCGAGTGCAGTAGGAGTCAAGATTCGAACCTCTAATCTTTTAGTCAATGACGTACGAAGATTGTACGAGGATAGAGACGACTTCCCATTCTTATCCCCGCCACCTATTCCGTTCCTCGTTCCACAGAAAATTTTGCAAGGACCAGGGTAGGTATATCTCGAGGGTTACTYGCAGGGATTTGGTTCTCTACAGAAAATTATTCAACGATAACTATTTTTTCTTTAAAAAATTATCAATTAATGTTAATTTACAGCCGAGAGTTCCCATTTAAGCATACTAAATGAATATTTTAACATATGTATATATAGGGACGGGGATTGGGAACATATTCCTTGTCTCCCCGTACTCGTCCCCCCGTCCCGTTTGGGGTGGGTCCCTCCAGAGCTCCATCTCCTAGGGTAAAGGTAACATCTCTAGGGAGAAAGATGAGATGATCTTAGTAAATTATTAGCTGAGGAATATTTACCTCATGCTTTTGGCTTTTGGCTTTTGGCTACAAGAATTTTCCTCCACTTTAGGAGGTGGTCCTGACATTATTGTAACTGTGAGATGTTATTTTCAGACTTTCAGGATATTTTTTTAAAATTAATTATTATTAAAAGTATAATGACATCAATTGGTCTGGGCTGCAGGAATTTTCTTTAGCTTAGACTTGAGATAAGTATTTCTCTTATTAGTTTGGTATTTGACGTTTCGTAATTGTGTCGGTTTAGTTTCTAACCTTAAAAGAATGTGATAGGTTTCTCAATTTAAAAGATTCAAAGGTAAAATATATGTTTCGCCCTCGAGATTTTGAGTAGACCATTAGTGTATATATTAACTTAATAATATTTTTGCAGTTAATTCCGTGTTTTACATTCACGCCATAAAATTTGAAATCGCCTTAAAAGCTATCCACTATCTAATCATTTAAGAAAACCATTAGTGTATGCATTAAATTGCAGACTTACCAACAAAAATTTAATAGGCATAAAAATGAAAGTTTGGGCCTTTTAAAATCCAAAGGCGAGATAGAAACAACCTTTAGAATTCAAACAACTTATTAGAAAATTTTAAAATACAGGGATTAAATAGATGAAATTTGCCAAAATTTATAATTTAATCAATAATTTTAGTCCACGATCGTTAATTAAAAATATAATAAAAGAGAAGTTACCGTGAAATTTTATTTCAATGATAAATATACATTATAGTCCTTGATCTTTTAGACAATTTTAAATTTTATCTTTAAAGTTTTTTTTTTTAATTTTATCATTAATATATAGATTTTTTTTTAATTAGGTTCTTCCTTACAAAAATTTCTTAAATAAATGGTGACATTAAAAAAAATCAAAGCAGAAAGAAGATCACATGGTTGGTGTTGGTCATCTTCGTAATTGATTCGACCTGTGAAAAAATATTACACATCAGCATTTTTTATTTTTATTTTTTTTTGTAAATAATACAATAATATTATATTTCAGATTAAACCCCAGCAATCGAATTATTCCCAATCAATTTAGTAATATAAAAACAAAATCATCAACAAACTAATGCTTCCTTAATCCCAATAAAATGAATAAATAAATAAAAATAAAAAAATTTCCGTAGAGGCAGGAATTCTTCGCAAATAAAAACATAAAATAAAAGTTCGGTGTGTAGGTGTGATCATCACAACTTATATAATTATCTTATACTTTTTTTTAATATAACATGTAAAGTGGAGAATCGAACTCACAACCTCTTGATTTGAGATATATGTCAATTACCATCATGTTATGCTCGCTTTGACATAATAAAACCATGCAATTTTTTCCCAAGAGTATTTTCCATAATCGCATTAGATTATTTTATTAAGGTTAACATATATTTTAGGTTTAATGTTTAAGTATTTTTTTAAATTTAATCCAATTATTAAAAGGTTTTAATTTCATTTTAAATTTTTTTAATCATATTTTTCTGGAAGGTGAATGTTAAAATTGGCAGATGAGAATTTTACAATGACATGATTCTAAGTTAGTAGAAATTTAGAGGAGGGATTAGACTGCCTAAGAGTTGAAATCTCTAATTTCTTCTCTAAATTTCTAAGAAATTGATAGAAATTTCTAACTTCTCATTTTTTAAATTGTCTAACTCATCTTATTTTAAAAAAAAAAAGTTCAATTCCTCCTCTAAATTTCTATGAGCTTGCTAAATATCATGTTACGTAAGCTTATGATCAATCAATTTTAACATTCACCAATATAAAATGATATAATTGAAAATGTTAAAACATGAAGGACTAAATTGAAACTTTTTAAACAATAGGGATTAAATTGAAAAAAAAACAAACAAAAAGAATATTAAAGGTTTAAATATTATTTTAGTAATATACTTTTGACTTTGGTCCATCTTGTTCCATTCACTTTCAAAACATTCATTTTGGTTCATATATGGAAACTTTTGTCCATTTTAGTATTTCTACTTTAAAAATATCTATTTTAGTCACTGTAATTGTTTAAAAAATAATCAATTTGATTTCTATTTGTAAAATCTTAACAAACAATTTATACACAATAGAAATTCTGTAATACAAATTTATAATTATATTTCAGAAAATTATGTGAAATATCATGCTAAAATGATGGTGGAAAGAAATCATAACAAAAATGAGAGTACAAAAACTGAAATAATATTTAATTCAGACTAAAACATATATTTATTTATTTATTATTTTTTTAAGTAACAAAATTACAATTTTGGTTCGAAAGACACATGGGATGTAACCAATTTACGAACTTTCACATGAAATGAAAGGGAATTTGTGGGAAAGTGATGAATTTTTCTAGGAAGTCAAAGGTCAATTAAGAAAGTTTCTGAAAATTTCTTGGATTTTTGGACATTATTTCCTCTCGCCAATCACAAATTTGTAATTCAAACGCTTTGGACTCAACTAAAATTCTTGGAAACCATCACCCATCATATATTACTTTTCATTAAACCAATTAATTCACATCGACCAAAAGAATTTCACCATTATTCTTATGGAAATTTGGTAGAATATCACGACTTCAAAACAGTGTGAATTTCTACGAAACTACTACTTTGAAGGTCAATATCAATATTCAAACTTTCAACCTATCAAGAAGATTACTGATTATGTTGTAACTCTCAAGTTGGATAAATACACATCGATAGCGCCAAAGCGAACACAGTTTGGCGGTAATTGACATATATCTCCAATAAAAAATTTGTGAGTTCTAATGCTAATTGGTTGGATAGATTAATTAGTTTTCATAATATAAATTATATGATTAAATAAAAGTGATGTGTTTGGTAGATTTGAATGAGAGAAGATTCTAACAAACTTCTTGACGTTTTCTTCGTAACTACCATAAACTTGATAAGAAAAAAAATTGTTGTTATAGGGAGTACGATATTATTTTGTCACTTGTGATTGACTTCTATTAAAAAAATGTTTGTATTATGAATATTTTAGTAAAAGTATATTTAACAATAAATAATTACATCCTTGTTTCGTTAAATATAATATTGGAGAACTATTTTGGATCTATATTTTGAAGAGTCAATTACTAAAATTTACTAAAATGTTATTGATGCTGAAATTTGGCTCGTGTCTGTTGTTGTCGGATGAGGTTACCTGCAGCAATAAATTTTGACACAGGTGAAATTTGTTTAGGAATGGCAAAAAAAACCCGCGAGACCCGATCCCGCGGGTACCCGACTCGATCGGGTTGGAAAATCCCCAGTTTGACCAAGGACGGGGTCAAACCGGGGATCCCAATCGGGGTCCCCGTGGGGATGGGGGAGGATTCCCCACCCCGTCCCCGTCCCATCCCCGCCCCGCCCCACCCCACCTCATTTAATATTTTATTAATTTTTCTATTTTTCATATAATAATAATAATATATATTAATTTTATAAATACTTTTTAATTTTTTAAAAAGTAAAAAACTCAAAGCTAATATCCATTTAGCCATTTTTTTCACTTTTTATACTAGTAATAACAAAAATTAAAAATAATATTTATAACTGACATGAGGAATCCTCGCCCCGTCCCCAAAATTTCAGGGACGAGGGTGGGGATGGGGATGACCCCTGCCCGTCCCGTTCCATTGTCATCTCTAGGTGTCTTACTAAATATCTTCGGACGCTCGAATTGGTAACTTAGAAGGAGGAGAATATAGGAAATTTTATACGAGTTTAGTGACATGTTTTCAAATGTGTGCAAGTTGCAAGTTTTATTTAAATTTGGTAAAGATACAATCGTGTTGACCTATTGATAGATTATGTTAATTTTTGTAACTTTTCACAAAAAATGATATGATAAAAGAATATATGTTATGAAAGGGATATAGAGAAGTCTTGGTGGGGAGTTCATAAAAGGGTTTTTACCTTTATTTAGGAGGTTTCTTGTAGAGTTCTTGTGAAGAAAAATCTTTCAGTAACTTTCTTTTTGTTCCATTGTGTTCAATTTGGTAATTTTCCACCATGGAAACTTTTTCTATTAGTTTATTTTACTTTTGTTGTCAAGACTCTTTAATGGGTTTCTTTTTTAATAGGCTAACTTATTAAAAATAATAAAATAATAAAAAAAACTTTACCTTTTGTTTAAAAAACCTCCCTTCATCTATTATAAACGTTTCAAAAATACCATTTTGAGCAAACATTTCGTTAATATTTTGAACGAAAATTCACGTGCCAGAATTTGAAACGACGTGATAATTAACATGATTGACTTGTCTTGATTGTCTACCTAATTTTTCCTTAAAAGTCGTTCTTTCATTGTCAATAGAATTTTACTTCTCCATAATTTGTCTACCTAATTTTGTTATTACCCCATTTTAAAAACAATAGTTTCTTCCATATTTCAACTATTTTCATCCTCATTCCAAATTCTGTCACCTCAACTTTTCACTAAAATATTAACAGATATTTACTTAAAATGTATTTTTGAAACGTTTATAAAAGGTCAAGTGTATCATTGAAACTTTTGAAAAGATGGGGGAATTATTTTTTGAAACAAGGGTAAAATTGAGAGATATTTTTGTAATTTAGTATTTTTAATATTATCTCGAAAAAGTAATATATTCAAGCTTATGATTCACGAGAAAGACTCTTTGTATACCATATTAATATATTAATATTTTAAGAAAAAAGTTTGTCTTCTTAAACAGTTGTATCACTCTCAGTTTTTCTGTATGAGCACAATCCTTCAATTAAATTCATTTTGTTGGGTTGTGCTTTGGTAATTTTCTAATAATGAAAATTTCCTCTATAATTAAGTTTATTTTAGATTTTCTTGCAATATTCAATTAAGTAGGGATATTACCATGAGGGATAAATTTCTTGATAAAATTTTGCATTCCAACATTTTGTTTTTATGTATAATCATTCAATCTTGGAAAGGATTTTATGAGGAAAAATATTAGAATGTTGATGTTATTTTTATGTATAATTTACATCTCTGTCTTTTCTTGTCTCCACATGTAGCACTCGTAAAAAGACAAAGTTAGATATAAATATCTTACCATTATTTTAACTAAAAGTTGAGTCCCTTTGTAAAATAAAAAAAAAATATATAAATCAGGTAATTTTTTCTTTGTTGGATTTCAAATTCTGGTAAAGGATAATAGTGGGCTGTAGGACCAAATCTGGTCCCACTCGGTATATTTGTTTTTATATTTATCTCTATGTCTTGTCAAATATTTAATAATGGTAAGAATAAGATTCTTCTTTACAAGTTTACGAGCCAAATATTTTATTTATGGGAATTCTACGTGGAAAATACTAGACTAAATCTTGGCCTCACCACCATTGAAAAATTGATAATTTATTATTTTTTATAAGAAAAACATTTTGTTTTTGTATTTTTCTCTCTTAGTTGTCAAACATTTAATGAGGATAAAAACAAGATTTCTCATTACCGTTAAGGAGCCAAATATTTTATGTATGGAAATTCTACGTAGAAAATACTGGACTAAATCTTGGCCTCACCACTATTGAAAAATTGACAATTTATTACTTTTTACAAAAAAAAAAAATTGTTTTTGTATTTCGTTGTCAAACATTTAATGGTGATAAAAATAAGATTTTTCCTCATACTTAAGGAGCCAAATATTTTCCTTTTATAAATTTTACTTGGAAAAAATTATACTAAATCTTTCACACCACCATTGTAAAATTAACAACTCATTAATTTTTAACAAAAAAAAATATTGTTTTTACTTTTCTATCTTAATCTTCGAGGACAAAATCCCTCCCGAGAAGTTAAATATTTCCATTTTAAGTGATAGGTGACGTTCATGAGTTTGGTTGGATTTGAAATGAAAGGAAATGTGAAATCGAATATTTAGTTAGGAAAACACACCATACCCAAAAGCAAAAATAATTCTTTTTTTTTTCTTCTTTTTAAAAAATAGACATCTTGAAAAATCTCATCGAATAATTAATGTGATGTTTGGACCTACAGCCCTTAAACTTTTCACGTTCAAAACACCCAAAAAAAAAAAAAAACTGTGTTTACATTTACAGAGAAATTTCTGATGATGTTCCTTTAAATTTTGAGGCATCATCCGGCCTTCTTCTCCCCATCTTTAAAACCTTCTCCTCTCTCTCTCATCTCTACGTACGCCATAACTTCTTCTTCTGTGTAACTGAGAAATTAAACTAAAAAAATATGGAGAGTCTTTCAAAATGTGATTCCAATTTCTGTGCTCTTACTCCCATCTCCTTCCTCCGCAGAGCTTCTGCCTCTTATGCTGATCGGACTTCTGTTATCTACGAGCGAACTCGCTTCACTTGGCGTAACACCTTTCAACGATGCTCCCGCCTCGCCTCCTCTCTCCGCTCTCTCAACGTCTCCAAAAACGACGTTGTAAGACTTCCTCTCTTGCTTTCTCCCTCCACTGTTACATCTATTTAGTCTCCAATGTTTATGCTGATATGTTTTGAAATATAATAAACTATCAAATTTTACGGGTTACTGTAAGAAAATATTTGACAATAAAAAAGAGAGGTAGAAATAGAGATTATTTATGAAAAATTAGTGAGTAGAAGATTTGGTTCTAGTAGTGAGTATTTTCTAAATAGGTGATATGTCTTTTGTTGAAGGTGTCAGTGATTGCACCGAACGTGCCAGCGTTGTACGAGATGCATTTTGCTGTGCCGATGGCGGGGGCAGTTTTGAACACGATCAACACCCGCCTCGACGTTAAGAACATTGCCGTCATCCTCCGCCACTCTGAGGCCAAGGTCTTGTTCGTCGACTACCAATACATTCCACAAGCTAAAGATGCCCTCCGTTTATTGGTGGCGGAATCCT